AGTTTTGCAAAAAATCCGCATGACAAAATTTAAGCCTAATTTATTTGGGTCTAAACTTAAAAGTTGCAGTCAGTATAAAAGAGTGTTTTACATCCACTCATTAGCTCGGAATCGAAAGGAAAGAACTATAAGCCTAGTTTTAGATATGGAACACCTTCTCAAGTTTAAATCCGGATTATTTCGCCCCTTCAGTTTAAGTTTTATTAGTTATTGTAAAATTACGGTTTTGACTTGATAGTATTGGTTGGCCCATAATAAATGGTCGTCCTTGTATTTTGCATATTTTTTCTACTTAGAACTGCTATTTTCTTAATTTTATTCCGAGTTTGTCAAGTTCATAAACTCCATAAGCTTTCTCTTGACAGCTCAACGCATTCGAATAATCAGCACTATACTAATAAGCTTCATCAAGTGTGCTATACATGGAGCCTGACTGGGGATGATTATCAGGTAGAGATTGTTTTTGTGAGAGCTTCTTTTGTACACTCGAGAGATTTTGCTCTGTTGTTCATGTTAGTATACACTAAACTTAAATTATTGTACCCTTGAGCAATTAAAAAATGATTATCTGGTAGCTACCGTTTACGTGTCGATAATGCTCGCTCAAATTCTTCCTGTGCTTCAACGTATTCGGCTTTGACCTTGTGAAGTAAGTCAAGATTTTCATGTGAATAGGAACGTTCAACTACCAAACGTTGGCACTGTTGATCAGAAAGAGTGGCATCATCTTGACGTAGATCGAGACTCTTGTATATGTTGAGTAGTGCCTCATCATATTCACCAAGATATTGATGTACGAGGCCCTTATTGTTATAAGCAGCTGCGACATCACGATTGAAGTTCACAATGCGACTGGCATTATTCAGTGCTAAGTACATTTGATGTATTCAAACATTCCATTGCTTCTCGATATTCGTTCACTTTTTGATGCGCGTAACCTAGACTATTGTAGAACATAAGGATCATCCGGCGATAGCTCCGTCGAGCATCCGTTTACTTAGGAAGAAAGAGAGAAACGTCAGTCCTTTTTCACATTAATCAACAGCAAACTTACTTGTATTTAATAGCGTTTTCATAGTCTTCTATTCATAATAAAAACTGGCATAAGATATACAACGTTGTTTCCTTGTCAATATCTTCTTCCAACCATTTACGAAGTTCATTTCGAATACAGTCATCATAGTCAACCATACGTAAGTTAAGTGTCCATGAATCTTCAGGCTGAAAGAAAAAAGCTGTTAACTGCTTCCCCAAATAAGGTCTAAAGTGAAACTTCTTCAAAGGCAAAAAAGGCGTATAGTTTTAACTACAAAAAAAAATTCTGTTTTCCCCCTTGAACTTTGTAAATTCCCGTGCCCGAGCGATAAAGTTAAAAAAGTGCTACTCCCTACTGATTCCACTCTAAACTCCATTTCTCTTCTTTTTTTTCTCTTTATGACGTAGTTTCACAAAAGTTTGTCATTACCCACTCTCACTTACATTCTTCTCTATTGATTCCATTTCAAATACTGTACCAATCGACAACAAGATTTCGTCTTCATCACTCATAGCACTGGCATCTCGTATATTAGCAAATGATGTATTTACATAATTCTTCGTTCCATCGATGATGATGCGTTGAAGAACGACAATTTGATCATCGACTTGTGGCTTTCCAGCATAGATTTTTGCTACGTCTTCATTCAAACTTGTTGACATAAACGTAGTTGGCCAAATCAAGTTTTTTCCTTCACTTGGTGTTAAAAGCATAATGAGCTCATCTTTTGATAATATTGTACCTCGATAGACAATCAACTGATCACTAAAACGTTGTTTCTCATAAAGTGCACGGAACTGTTCATGTAGATCATGAATAATGAAACGATAACTGAACATAAAATCAATGTGATCTGTTCGACATGCTTGGTTTAATAGACGGTATAAAAACGAGTCTTTCGTATACCAATAAATCGTCTCTCTTGCTTGGTATGTATGATGAAATCTGAACAGTGTTTCATGCATCTTCTTGTTATTCATGTGAAAAAGAAAACTTTGTTCTAGCAAATTATCTTTACTCCGAGCAGTTTGAGGCAATTGTATAAGAACTTTGAGAAGCAGCTTGAACCACATGACTTTTGCATTTTTGTCATTTAATTCTTCCACAGCAGTTTGTGGAGGACCATTGTTTTGTTTGAAAATACAAATGCCGGATGACCATCGTGGGATGAAATAGGCTTCCAAATTAGTTCGAATGAAGGTATGCTAACATGTACAGTATCGGTTCTCTCCACTGTGTTGCTTTATTTAATCTGAGAATCGAAAAGAAAGAATAGCAAACAGAAGAGAACGGAAAACATACAAGAATACAAGGCATCTCGTGATGGTGAAAGTTCACTTTCTAACGGTGAACAGCTGATTCAGATTTACTTAAGGTCTTTTCAGTTTGTTTGAATTTTCAAATGTCATGATTTGCTTAAAAATCGATTTTTGCGCTATGATTGTGCGAGAAATTATTGATTTCTTTTTTATTTCTTCGTTCAACTATTGTAGATTCATCTGTGCATAATGCGAAGGACAACTTATTACGGTTTTACTAATCGCTTTTCCTTGCTGATCGAACTTTTAATCAACACTGAAGCAAGTAAACATGATCAACGTCGGTCGAATGATGAACCTTTTTTCTTGAGATTTGAAAAACATTGCCATTTTCACTGGTGAACTCGAGGCAAACTCCTAAAGAAAAATGAGGAATATATCAGAAGCGGCGGGTGAAACCGTAGGGGAAACTGTGGGTCGGGGTGTTGCTTAGAAATTTTCTCCTTAGTTCAAATGTTAATCGGTTGGCAAACGAATTAACTACGGGACGAGGAATATCTGGCGCACGAATTTCTTCGTTATACCGAGTTTGAATTTTGTGGCGCGTAGTCTCGATCTCTGAAGGCGATTGTCGAAGGGCGGTTGTCGTATTAGAGTGGACATGTGCGAGGCCTTTATTCATGATACGTGGTTGAAAAAATATCTTCCGATAACTCCCTAGTGAAACTTCTTATACCCAAGTTCTTGAGTGGTGTAAGCCAAGATGTTTCAAGATCTTAGATTATTGAATCTGTGACTCAAAATCTTGAGTGAATCCATTCAAGATGTTGCAAGAGCTTGAGCGACAAATTTTCTTTACGTTTTGTTTTTCTTTATGAGAGTGCGAAAATATTCGCACCTATATTTACACAAGAGTATAAAACAAAACGATGATTCAAGAATTTCCAAGATCTTGTTACAAGAAGTCAAGAAATTACAAGATGTTCAAGATCTTGGCTTCTTGAATTCTTATATTTTCTTACCAAGATCTAGAATCAAGATCTTCCTGAAAAAATTCAAAAAGCCAAGATCTTGGTTACAAGAAGTTTCACTACAGACAGCTCTGTCAAATTGTACTCATTAGAAAATTTGATGCTGGCTCTAATATATCACAAGCTTTATAGGCTAAAAAAATGGTATTGAGAAAACCATATACATACACGGCATATTCATAACGAGAAGGATTTCTGGAAAACTCCAAGTTGGTTTTTAATTCTAGTAGCTCTCAACGAAGTTTTTATAAAAGCTAAAAACTCGACCTCTGTCAATTGGTACACATAAGTGTTTGCTTTACTTTAAAATCATCCGGAGCTCTCCAGCATCTACGTGGAGAAAATGTTTTTGGAAGTATCGACACCTATATTTGCATCCTCAAAGTGGCGATATATCTTAACCGATAGTAGATAGTGCCCTTAGTATAATTTTTTAGACCTGCTTTTACAAGATCAACATCCTCTGAAAGTTCCATTCAGATCGGACTTACGCTTTCCTAGATATGTCACTGACATGGCGCCGCTTGATTAGCGCATTTTCATGTAGTATCGGCAACCGTTTTCGTGTCTGTTACACATTTTTCTGTGGGCAACTATTTTTTAATCAATGATGGAGTCCCGGTTTTGAACTTATCCATCTCTGACTTGAGCTGGTTGCAGGTTTTAGTCAGTTTCCATCCATGTGATCAGCTCCAGTACATACAGTTAAATGCCTGTTTGTAACCCATGATTCACGGTGAAATAACGGACAAAACACGGTCACCGTTAAAGAGCAGTTTTTTTACAGTTTTCAGACTGTTAACAAAC